AGTGCCGTCACATTGTATAGTATTATTGGAACGTATTGTATCATCCGGGTGTTTAGTGCCGTCACATTGTATAGTATTATTGGAACGTATTGTATCATCCGGGTGTTTAGTGCCGTCACATTGTATAGTATTATTGGAACGTATTGTATCATCAGGGTGTTCCTGGTCAACAGAGTGTGTATATAGTATCACTGGAACGTATTGTATCATCAGGGTGTTCAGTGGCGTCACATTGTATAGTATTACTGGAACGTATTGTATCATCAAGGTGTTCGGTGCCGTCACATTGTATAGTATTACTGGAACGTATTGTATCATCAGGGTGTTTAGTGCCGTCACATTGTATAGTATTATTGGACCGTATTGTATCATCAGGGTGTTTAGTGCCGTCACATTGTATAGTATCACTAGAACGTATTGTATCATCAGGGTGTTTAGTGCCGTCGCATTTTGTAGTATCACTGAAACGTATTGTATCATCAGGGTGTTCAGTGCCGTCACATTGTATAGTATCACTGGAACGTATTGTTTCGTCAGGGTGTTCAGTGCTGTCAAATTGTATAGTATTACTGGAACGTATTGTATCATCAGGGTGTTCAGTGCCGTCACATTGTATAGTATTACTGGAACGTATTGTATCATCAGGGTGTTTAGTGCCGTCACATTGTATAGTATCACTGGAACGTAAAGGGGTTAAAATCCGGAAGCCTCAATGGATTATTACATTCTGGAGAGAGTGATGCAGCAAGGAGTCACTAGGGGATCTGGCCGACACTCAGCGCTCAACGGAAAGGCAAGGCAGACATATAACCAAACTGCTGATAGTATCTTTGGCATTGGAACTCTTCCCTGACTGCTGAAGATGAGGACGGAGCACTTATAGGAATAACGCGAGCGCCAAGATGTTTTTTATTAGCTAAACGCAACCAAACTCAAAGGGGAACAACTTAAGACAGGTAGCGGTACCTGTGTACAGGTTGTGTCCCTTATTTATCTCAAACAGCAAATTGCTATCAATGCCAAACGTGGACACTTAATCCTTCAATGAACGTACAATTGTGACAACAGGGATGACATACCTTAGGAAGCTGCAGGAGTTTCAAGGAAAGACAGAATACGAAATCACGAAATTAGACGAATGCTAGAAATAAAGCCAGTCTTACAGGTCATCAAAGAACAATAAATGAAGTGGTTTGGACACCTAACAAGTATGCCCTGGTACTATCTGCCACAGCGAGCCACACTAAAACGTTACAACGGGTATAGAGCGAGTGGAAGACCTCGGAAAATATGGAGTTACGGCATTAAGAACAGCCTTACAGAAATGAACATCAGTCTTAATAGTGCTCTTGACAGAGCTCATCAACGAACATTACATCTCCCCCCGACACTTCGATGAGAACGAGGTGGAAGAGAAGAAGAAGAAGAAGAAGTAAACTGGTTTACTCTTTCAACGGTAAAGCGATAATTATTACTCTGGTCGCCAGTAGACGACTTCGTCACCGGTGAGGACGTTATTTGTGTCTGCCTCCCTTGGCCGCATCAGCACTGCAGGAGTAATTTTCAGGACTCTTGGTGGCGAGCAATGCAAAGCCATTTCATATGGCGCCCATAACCTAGTCACAATTATAACCTAAAGCTACCCTTTTACGGATGTAGGCTAGACGTGACTTTTCACCCCAGCAAAACACATACCTACCTAATTTTTGCTCAGCTTTTCCGTGTGGGTTTTAGCGTCCCATGTGTGTGTGTGGGGTGGGGTGTGGTGTAGGGATGGAGAAGAATAGACCACTTTCCCCTAATTAGCATGTCGTAAAAGGACTAATTATGAGCGTTTCCTTTGCAGTCCTATCGTATTGTATAAAATCAAACAAAATTTATATTGTAACTAGATATAACTCCGTTGCGCTGCTTGCTTGTATGTCACACAGACTTGCAGTCAACTCCTTCCTCTGTGCAACTCTTTCAATACTGTCATCAAACTCTGTCATTAGTTTTTTTCTCTTTGATGCCCCTATGTCCTCCATCAATTTGTTTTCTAATCTCTGTTTTTTCTTCTTCTTTGTCCATTTTATTTCAGATCCCAAGCTTTGCTCTTTTGTAGCCGCCTGACGGACTGCTTTCTTTATCAAGGACGGTTCCTTTGCTATCTGTTTTTAGTTCTGGCCCCTTGTGGTGTGCAATTACACTTGAGTTTGTTTCCTTTGTTGACTAAGTTCAGAGCATTCGCAGTCCTAGTGCATGTGCCGAGATACGACGAAGCAGTTGTATGCACAAAGATAAGTTACATGTGTACAACAAATGGGGGGCAAAGTTCCTTGTGGAGAGATTGTCTGACTGCTGTTTCAGCATATGCTCTAGCACACACACGCATTAAAAGCATACAGTAGCCGTCAGAAGTAGGGCTGTACCGAATAGTGATTTTCACTATTCAGCGGAATACGAATAGCTGCACCAACTATTCCGCCGAATACGAATAGTGAATCATCATTATCAGGTGCTTTGCCGACTGGCAAAAGCGATTATGCCTCGCCCGAATCTGCGATCTCCTGCAGCATGTATTAGTTCGTGTGCTGACACACCTCCATGCCATGCAGCAAGACTGTCAAGAATCTTCTCTCGTTGTTTTCCTCTATCCCTCCTTCCACAGATCTTTCCAGGGGTCACCACATGTTCCATTTTCCCTCATCTTATAACATGGCCGAAAAATGATGACTGTCTCCTTCTGATGTCTGTGAGTAGTTGTCTTCGGGCTCCCGCCTCTATCAAAACCTCTCGGTTGCTTTTGTGTGTGTGTGGCTGTCCAAGGTATTTTAAGCATTCTTCTGTAAAACCACATCTCTGAGGCTTCAAGAAATTGTTTGGCCTGCCTACCGATTGTCCAGGGCTTACAGCCATATGTTAAAACTGGATGTATGTAGCAAGAAAGAAATATTTTTCTAACCTTCAATGACAAAAATATATTGCCTAAGATGTTCTTCATTTTATAAAATGCAGTTTTTGCCTGTTTCTTATTTCAGTAATGCATCTTCCATCTGATGTTATCCATGTGCCCAGATACTTAAACTTATGTACTTGTCTCAAAATAAAACCATTGACTTTTATAACACATTTAGAAATAATTATTTTCTTTGACACCACCATTACTTCTGTCTTCCCACTATTCAAACTGAGATTCATTCTTCCACTTTCGTGTGTAAAATAGACCTAAAAAAAGAAACATCCATAATGTCAGATGTACGCTGAAATTTTACTTCACAAAATGTAGTACAGAATAGTAAGCATTTAAAAACATTTCATGTTTTGCATCCTTCAGTCAGTCAGTCTGTGCTAACTAATACCTAGGAATAAAAGTATTCTTAGTTTTATAACAAGTAACTAAGGTATTTCCAGCTGTACTAAACAGACGTTCACTTGGTACTCTCGTAGGTGTTGCACAAAGATAACGCTTGACGGTATGAACCAAGGTGGGAAATCTTGATATGTTTATTTTCCACCAGTCCAGAGACTGGTAACCACTATTCGTATTCGGCCCGACCGCAACTATTCGGCCGAATACCAAATAGTTATTAGGTCCACTATTCGGCCCCGAAGCAAATACGAAGCGAATATTCGGTACAGCCGTAATCAGAAGTGCTAACACAAAAAATATGACATAAGAAATGCACTTCATCATCGACGGTAGCAGAGGTAACTAACAAATCAGCAGTTGCACACGCGATCAATTTTAATCACACAAATTAAAAACACAGGTTGTTAATAGATATGACTACCAAAGGCAAGGAGGATCATTGAGTCAGAGATGATTTAAAGTATACGAGACAGAATGTTGTTAATAGATATGACTACCAACGCCACAAGACAAGGAGGTTCATATGTGTCAGAGTTGATTGAAGGTACACGAGACAGAAGGTTGTAGATGGATATGAATGCCTACACCACACAGCATGTATTTAAAGAAAAAGAAGAACGCTGGAAGAAAAGATAACAGACGTTGATCACTCAACCAACATCGTCTCTCGAGTGTTGAAGTCAGTAGACTAGCATCTGTCTCGCTATCCGCTGCTCTGCTGCCAGTCGTTAACTAATTTCACCATTATTGATGTGTGTGTTTTATGTTTTAATTAGTTCTCTGTCGCTGTTAACTTTTACAACAGTAACTAATGTTAACAGTCTGACATAGAGTCAACCCCGCCAACGATTATTTCAGGCAAAAACGTTTTTAAAAACTCAATTAGCATTTTGTGCTACTGTTGTCATTGTAATTAAATATTTCTCTGGGTGTAACAAATTACTTTTTATTAATGTAGATTACATTAAGGCTTTTCCCCAGTGCTTACTACAGTATTTTCTATATATTTGTTTTTAATTTTCTTTCGATTATCTTCAACTGAATGAAAGATATTTGATTTATAAATCATAGTTTACATAAATATTAGTTCTCTCATCGTTAGTCTTTGGTCGTTAGTCAACACGTCAGACAGGTTACTCCACAACTGCTCCACCTCAGTGTCAGCAGACATCGCACAGAATCTCCTTCATTTTCCTATACAAAAACTGAGTATGTTTGCATGAAAGGGAGACGAAAAGATTAAATTTCAATTTGTGGTGTCTGAACAGACTAATTGTTTTCACTGATCACTTTCTTGTAAATACGTTTGTTTCAACTCTGACAAAAGGTTGGGATAATTGTGTTATAATGAATGACAAAAGTAAAGGACCCCTTTCCACGCCTTTGAAGCGTATTGGGTATATAGGGCTAGACCTATAATTTATAGACCAAACGGCACTTGGTGGGTGATGTGGTCAGCATCACACCCGCCGCCTTTACTTTCCAAGACTGTACCTGGTACTCCTCAAGGCTAGATCGACCTGGTAGCCAAGTTCATTTTTTGAAAGAAAAACCGGCCGTTTTTAGGAACCGAACCCACGACCTTTCGATCCACAGCGGAGCGTCTAGCCGCTGCCACGGCGGCTCCTACAGAACAGTAATGGCCATAATGAAATGTGACATCAGTACACAGACAAACGTGGCGTTTTACACAACTGAAAGAATAGAAGGCGAAAAAGGTCTGGAAAATTCAACAACTATTTTCACTGTGACCTTTAACCCGACCTTGGCCTCCCGAACTGCCATCGTCTCGGATGAAACATTCACCATCTTTGCCATGATCGTGGATGAGTGGATGTGTTTATTTCTTGCTCTCATTGGCACCTTTAACAGCTTTGTCTGTATCGTGGTCTTTGCTCGACAAGGTTTCAAAGACACGGTAAACATTACCATGACAACCATTGCCTTCTGGGAAATAATGAAGTTAGCATGCGCAATCGGGGCAAGACTGTCTGGACCAATCAAATTAGTGGACCTAGCTTTGGGCACTTCCTGGAAGAACATCTTTATTGCCAACATCAGCTACTTCCATGGCATCTGTGGCAACATCTCCTACATGATGGCAGCTTACGTCGCTGTAGAACGATCCGTGTGTGTCTGTTTTCCGTTTTGTGTCAAGCGATATTTTACTCCAAAAGTGACTTTTATTATCTGCGTTTCAATCTCAGTCACCGTGTTCTTTTTGGTGGTGCCGATTCTGTTGATTTTTGAAATCGTATGGGTTTGTAAAGAGGATTATAGGTCAATGGTTGCCGAATTCCAGCATAGTACATTTTATCATCTTCACGGAGATGTATTTTTGAGCTATTATAAAGTGATGGCAATTCTCTTTCCTATGACTAGCCTGTTCACAATGGTCATCTCTACTTGTGTCATTACATACCAGCTTCAGAGGTCATCCAGGTTTCGACTCCAAGGGTTACCTGCTCGGAGTCTTCAAGATGATCCTGTCAAGAAAGTCAAAGATAGGAGTTTCCCGAGACTAACGTCCAGGGACAGACAAATCGTGAAGCAGCTTCTCGTGTTGATCTTAGCCTACATTACTAACTTAGTTCCGCGGTTTGTTCATTTCCTGGCCTCCGTGTTAGTTCCCGAATACTACGTGATGAGGATCTACAACAACATCTTTTGGTGTGTGATTTACTGCGTGTACGTCGTCGACTTCCTCAACTCCAGCTCCATGTTGTTTATCTACTTCTGCATGAGCTCCAACTTCAGAGCAACAGCGACACGACTCTTTCAGTCTGCGTGTGTCACCAAGAACACCCTTAGGTCGTTCTCTGAGAATGCTTGACACCACTAAAATATATAAGAAATAAATGGGCAGGTATTGATTAACACTCATAGAGGAAACAGATTAAAGAACACATTAGCAAATACTCATCCTCATCTAGTTCATTATTGTCATCCCAGAGAAGGTGTTTCCCATAAGGACACTCTCAGAGAAGGTGTTTCCCATAAGGACACTCACATCTCGATATCGTCTTTAATTCTTCTCCGCGTTTACTCGCTCTAAACTCTTGTAGAAAGTTCTGGTTGTTCGTCCACTTCTGGGCCTTACTATTGTTCCAGTATTTGGGTTTTGCATGCACATTCCTTCCACAGATCTCATTTATTTGTACAAAGACTGTGAGTTCCTTGCCTCTCGGACAGATGCACCGCGACTTCCAAACAAACCCATAATTTAGTCGACTTTTACGACACACTTGTGTGACTGTTCTTGTTTTCTCCCAAAATGGGGCTCCCTGAATCCACAAAGGAAGTGTTAGATTCAAGCTTCTAATTTTTTCACGATGATGATGTTGTTTATGGTGGTGATGATGATGAAGATGATAACGATGAGGACAACCTAATCTCACCCGAAGCTAGATTTAAAACAGAAAAAAAATAGCTGAATTGACTGTTAGAAATGTTTAACGCAACCAAACAAAAGTACGCCATGCGTGACTACAGCTAAACCTGTAGCACTATCCACTTACTTGTTTTACATAAATGTAGCAACGGTGAGCACACAAGAGATTACCGGATATCTCCGATTGTCAAGTGATTGGAAAACACCCGTTTGTTGCGACAACATGGACGTCACCAAACAGCAAATCTGTGTGTTTATTTATCTATACAAATGTGGTCACAAATATTTAAATGAAACAAAACATTAAGTATTATCTATACAAATGTGGTCACAAATATTTAAATGGAACAAAACATTAATTTTATTCTTACGAAACAAAGAACACAGCTTCCCAAAATTTATAAACGCCTTTTTAAAAACCATGAAGCTACACAGCCTTTAGAAATCTATGCTGGAAACAAAATTATTACAAAGCTGTAATGATAAATCTGTGAATTTATATCACCACTACGAGTTTAACTGTAATGCTACCAGAATGGTTTTGCACTGAAAACCACAAGGGCATAGGGGAAAAGGAAGACAAAACAAAGGCTAGAAAGGGGTTAAAATGAAGGAAAGGACATGGGGAAAGCTGCATGCGATAACGAAGGGTAGAATATCTTGATAGAGTATCCTGACGTGAGTTGGTTGAGGGCCTATGCTCAATCAGGAGTTAGAAAGTCAGAAGAAAAAAAAACATTTGAAAAAAATATAAAGTTTATTCCATCAACATTGTCTTCTTTTCTTTTCGTTGCATCTATCACCCGTTGTTTTTATATAATTCTGTAAACCATCCCCGCTTTAACTGTAAAGCCATTGACTACCGCGCCCAAGATGGTCCCAACGATGACACTCACATTTGCATCTGTTGTCACTACCGCCACATGAATTGTTACTGCACCCTTAGAGCAGCGGTTCCCAACCTCTGCGTCACGTCCCTTTTGTGGGTCAAATGAACCTTGTACAGAGGTCGCCGTAGACCATTGGAAAACACATATTTACTGAAGCAATAAAGTAGCAACGACAATACTTGTATGGTTAGGGGGTCGCTACAACCTGAGTAACTGTATTAAAGGGTCGCCACAACATGAGGAACTGTTAAAGGGTCGCCACAACATGAGGAACTGTTAAAGGGTCGCCACAACATGAGGAACTGTTAAAGGGTCGCCACAACATGAGGAACTGTATTAAAGGGTCGCCACAACATGAGGAACTGTTAAAGGGTCGCCACAACATGAGGGCCACAAAATGAGGGCCCGTTAAGGGGGCGCCACAGCCCTTTAAAAAACTGTTTTTAAAGGGTCGCCACCCAATGAGGGCCCGTTAAAGGGTGCCCCAAAAAATGAGAACAGTTTTAAAGGGGCGCCAAACATGAGGAAAAATTGGGAAGGGGGCGCCCCAAACACGAAGAAAAAGTTAAAAGGGCGCCCCCAGCATTAAG